CGGGGCTGGGAGCCTGAGCTCCCATGGCCACAATCTGCTTTTTGCTGAGCAAAAGGGCCATCAAAGATACATTTTCAGTCCTGTGAAAACAATCCAACATGACATACTGCACCTGCACAAGCTACAGCTGACCCAGGGCACAGTCTAGTGTGCTGCGAATCCAAGGGGGATTATTTAACTGTCAACGATCTGTGTCATTCACAAAACAGATTTCTTTTGACTTGAAACAGGCAGGCCCATTTTGTCCAATCTGTGAAGCAGACATGGGACACAAGCACATAAGAGGGCACAAGCACTGCTGACGACCTGCCTACAACTGGACTTCTTGGGCCTTCTTCTGCCCTCTCTGCTTGGATGGGAATTTCATCCTTAAAGTTTAAGCTTAATTCTCTTGTGTTATGTACAAATGAGTGCAGTGTGAGTGAACTAAAGCCAATTTCTTTGACAGGAATGTCAGCTGTCAGTGTGCAAACAGAGCAATAAATGAAACAGCAATCCAGCACATGGAAGTAGAAAGTCCTGACATTTTAATCATCTGAAGAGATTACAAGAGCAAAGTCTTCCTTGAGGCAAATGCATATTGATATAGTCATTGTGCTTTTCAGTAAGAGAAATAGGAGTTTGTATTTACATAAGAAACTATAGCGTCTGAGATCTTTAAATATCATATTTATGGAAATGATTCTGAATTACAGCATTTACAAAATAAAAACAAGCTTGAATAAATATTCAGTCCATTAAATAATTACTTTGTTCCACAGAAGCAACTTTTGTGCATATTTATTTCATAACTGAAGTCGGTTGTATTTTTTTTCATCCTATAAAAGAAGCATTAGATTTGTTGTTTCTCTAAAAATAAAACTGCAATAATCATTGCATGTGAAGCCTGAGATTTAAGCCTGAATAAGTATCACTGCTTGTACCACATTACCCAGCTCCTGAGGTATCCACCCTGGGTCTCTCTAAACTCCGGTGACTGTAGACATGCCGACTTGAGGATTTCTTGGAAGGGAATTTGCAAAACAATTATAAATAAAGTGAGGCTAACATCCTACTGCTGAATGTGTCTACAGACAGATCATAAGACTTGTGCCTTTCACAAACTAGGTGAAGCTGTTTCATCCGATTTAAACGACAGCGATGCCAACAAACTGCTATGTTTATGTGGCTCCATTACATTTGATATAAAACTACATAGCAAAGGAAGTGTCCACAAAATAAAAAATACGCACAGACCAGTTTTTGCTTTATCATTTTAAATGAGGACGCTTGAGTGAAATAACGCAGTTTTCTCTGTATCAGCTCGAAACATTCAGTTAACACCGCAAGTCAGCAAAGAGCTCTTGATCTCATTTCCTCTGTAACCACAGAACAGTGTTTTTCTTTGAATGTGGCTAAAATCAAACATGTCCAGACACCTCCAAACCCCGGTGCTCACAGAACTCCTACTGCATATCACTTGTGTAAGATCACCACATGACCCTGTGAATCTTTTATTTTCCTCTCCAAAGAGAAGCATAATTTATGTCTATGTATATGTACATTTTAATACATATATGTGTATTAAAATAGATGCGTCTTATGAGGCGTTAGTGTGACTTACGTCTAAAAGGAAGAGCCTGACATGTTTTATAAAATTACTCTGCAAACTATGGATGATAAATAAACTTTATATACTTGACCAATCTGTAGGACTTTTTGAATAAAAATATAAAGTGGTGATACTAGTTTGCCTTTAAAAAAATCATTTCAAAAGCGGAGCTTGGGATAACTCCGGTCTGTCATGCATACTGTACTAATGCTGCTAAACTTTTCAAAAATAAAGTTTTTTTTAATAGCAATTCATTCATCCACTAACTCTTTCCTCTGGAACTTTTCTTAGTATTTTATTATCAATATTGCAAACCAAACTCTCTCATGCATCAGGATTTCATCATCTGGAGTTTGCATCAATGATGCTTCAAAAAAATCCCTAACTGGAAATAAATAAATTAAAAGATGCAAGAACTAATTTTCAAAAGATACTCCAAGTTATTGCTGTGCTCAGCGAGAGGCAGCAGAAACATACTGCTCTGGGACTTTGGATTTTTCCTCTGTTGTTCAAAGAGAATTTTGCCTATGTGAATACTGAATATGAGCTTAACATATTTGCCTTAATTAATGCTAGCTCAGGCGGCTTGTATCCAGCAATGGAAAAGCTAAAATAGCAACAAGAGGGAGAGCTAGAACACTAGCAAGTACAGAAGTGTCCTGGCTGTGGAACTGATCTGCTGTGCTGAGTTAGTCAGAGTTAACCAGCGACTGTGTTCTGCGTGTGTCAGATAAGCAGCAGCGATGTAGGTTCAGTCCACTGAGCCCTATTTCCTTCCACGCGGCACGTCTGTTCTGCATATGGCATTGGAACGCTAACATTAGAAATTTATGGAAGACAGTATTGCAGCCATACAGCTACAGACACTTTGTACTTCCCTTTAGCAGCTTAATAAAATGCAATAAAAAGTGTCTGTACAAAATTGAAAATAATGGATGTCAAAGCCTACATGCCCGCAACAAGGTCCTTCCTTCAAGTTCATTCTTGGCTTAGATCAAACATAAGATCAGTCGATTTCAGACTCCAGTAGGTGCATCGCTGACTCAGTGCGTCAGATACCAGCTTTGTCACTGTAGAAAGGAGTGACATGGAACATGTAACAGTGAGTGCAAACCCGGACAGGCTTCATCTGACCATATCGAGGTAACGGAGCAGAATGAGAGGAACAGCGAGAGCAGAAGATCTGAAAAATACCAGAGAGACTGAATGAACTTTACATGCTGAGGTTTTGGACACGACTAAAGCTGGCTAAAAAGCAGGTGAGGGGAGAATTGAATGTACTGCACTTCTGGCATGTCTCAGCTGGGAAGCACTCCTGTCTAGTGCATTTTAGCTGGCAGCCCTCACCAGCTGGTGCCCAATGTCACCTGAGTCTGCCCAGCCTCTCCCAGGCACTAGACCTTGCTCATGTGAGAAGGGCTATTGCAGTCACTTGGGCTGCTTGCATGAGAAGGATTTGCAGGATTAGACTCTTGAACCTTGATTAAAATTGCAACTTAAGGCAAACACAATAAGAACCAGCTGGGTTTACGCCTCCTGGGAAAACACCCACTCCCTGCTCCCTCTGGATTGTACCGTTATAGATTTATAGATGTTAGGGTCAGAAGGGACCTCAGTAGGTCATCAAGTCTGACCCCCTGCCAAATTCCAGCAGCTTGTAGTGTGTGTGGCATGGTCCAGCTGGGGACCCTGGCCCCATGCTTCTGATGGGATCACTGTAGTGCATACAAAGCTCAGTCTCCTTGTGAAGACCACCGAGGTAGGGCAGAGCACCACCTTCCTTGGAAGCCCACTCCTGATTCTGGCAACTGTGAAGAAGTTCTTTCTAATGTCCAACCTAAATTTGCTCTCTGTCAATTTGGGGCCATTGTTCCTACTCAGAAGCAAGAGAATAAGTGCAGAGGGGACTGAAGATTCAAGGCTCCTTGGTGCACAGGACCCATGTGAGGAGCCTGAGACAAGCCTGAGCATGGCGCCAGGCTCCCAGCTGGACCACACCACTCTCACACTACAAGCTGCTGGAATTTGCTAAAGTTCCAAGCCAAGATTTGCAAAAGAGACTTGATTGTGGGTGGCCACTTGAGACATGGCCTCAGTGTTACACGCGTCTGTCATTTCTGCAAATCAGGCCCTTTCTGGGTGCAAGCTGGGCAGCCAGAAATGGAGGTACCCAAAATAGTAGCTCGTGGCTTCTGATGCAGCAGGTTCTCTGCGGCTGAACATGTGCTGGGCTGGGTGGTTCCAGTGGTTTGCATGAGTGTGCCGTTCTTTACAGCTGACAGCGCGTCATGTGTTTCACTGAGTCATTACCTTGCCACAGCTCCTACAATGGTGCTTCCTGCGAATGACTGTGAACGGAGCTTTGCATGCAGTGCAGTAGCTGCAGACTTCATCTGGCACCCAGTCAGGAGGATCTGTCAAAACACACCAACAAAATAAAGCAGATAACACACGGGAACAAAAATAAACAATGACGACGCGAGCCTCTGGGGAGCTGGAGGAACAAAATGCTGTAGCAGTTCTCAGCCAGACATCTCCAAGTGCATTTAGCTAATCCTGAATCACAACTAACAATACAAATCACTTCCTTCTCCGTCAAATGCAGCCTCTTCTGGGATGCAACACAGCAGGCCTTTAATGGCAGTTTAAAACAGCCCAGCACTTTAGGACACAAAATAAAGACAATGTTTCTATTCAATGGAAAATGACTGAAATGCAGCAGGCAAAATATGAGGATACAAGAAAGTACTGTTAAATGTAGACATAGAACCATAAGCTTTTTTGGCAATTTAAAAGTTAAAAGCAGAAGTCTAATACTGAGGGAGGTGTGGGGTTCCCCCACCTCTTTACTTGGGAAAAGGCAATTCATTCTTTTCCCCCTTCAGTTAGGCTAATTCTCTCCAAATAGTGAACTAAAGGACCAATCCCTCTTTCTCCCCTGAAACACTCGCACTGTTCTCAAAAGTGCTTGCCCACATCGCCATCAATTTGAAACAGAAGCAGAATCAAGGGTACAACCCAAATCCACAGAGAACTTCAAGTGCTTCACGGTCATTGCCATTTTTTTAAGACTAATAACCCTTCCGATCTTTCACACAAGCAGTGCAGTGGAGGATTTGCCTGGTACAAAGAAAAACATGTTAGGCTCATTTCTGCCGAGATGTTTCTGCTTGTGGTGATCTGACACTCCCCAGGGAGCTGGGAGTTATGACTGCCTCCGTGATGTAGCCCATTGCTTAATTAAGTTAATAAAAAACTAATCGAGGGCAGGCAAAGGGCTGCCCAGGAAGGAATCTATGGACACAGTGAAATGTAAGCTCCTGGATACATTTACATAAGTTTCCCAGGTATAGATTTGCTCTATTATTTAGATTACAGTGAACGGACCTGTTGCTTTATAAACATGAAGGAACAGATCCCTGCCTCTAGGAGCATCCTGTGAAACAGAAAGACACAGTTAGTGCAGTAAAGTACATGTCAAATGGAAAGCCATGTGCAGGTGGAAGAAAGAAAGAGCAACGGTGAAAGGGAAATTCAGTGAAGGTATATTGCAGCAAGGGATATCTAGGATTTTATATATGAGGCTGGTTAAACATCAGAAGAGGCTAACCAGAGAGGCTGTGTGATCTCTATCTTTGGAGGTTTTAAGAGCGGGTTAGTCAAACACTTGCATGGGTGTCTGGTGCCTCTTGCATCGGGGGGGGGGGGGGGGGGGGGGCCCCCCCCCCCCAAACCAGGGTGGGGCTCCCCTGACGGCTGATTCTGCTGACTGGGAGTGGGGGTGTCCCCTGCAGCCGATCTCACTCCCACAGCTACTTCCAGAAGTGGCATGACCACTATTGCTGGCAGCCCTGCTCCCCGGCCAGCACTCGTAGGGGGGACACTGGTGCTTCCGCCTGCCCCCCTGCCCGCCGGCTAAACATGGAGTGAGGCCTGACAGGGGGTGCATGTGCACCCCCGTGTATCCTCTACGCATCGCCCCTGAATACTTGGTTTAGACAGGGATAACCCTGGACTGGATGACTCCCTGATGTCCCTTCCAAGCCAATATTTTTTGTTTTCTATTCACACCTGAGTCACATCCAAATGCATATTTATATGACATTTTACTTTATTTCTCATATAACATTTATCATATTAGGGCAATAATAGGGAAAGTAAAAATAGACCAAATACACAACTTACTACATAAACTAACAACAAACTTACTACATATTCTAACAAGCAGGAAAACTAGTCAGAAAAGTATGGGAGTATAGTATCAAGCATCCCATGCAACACCTTGTCAGAGCTCCTACCCCCTGAAAAGCACACCTGGTTTATTTCAGAAGCTGAACTAGGAAAGAAAGGAACATTTCCTTTTTTGTTATACAGACCACAAAGAACTGGTTTGAAAACAGGCACTTCTGTAGAGGGAAACAAACAAAATGTGCATGCAAGGGAAATGCCATTGGAGAAGCCTTGGGGAAGTTAGAAATTCCTTTTAAGGTAAAAAACGGACTAGGAACCAAATTCAAAAGGAGGACTTAAGCATCTCAAGTTCAATTTACATGGCCAAATTCAAGTGAGCAATCCACAAAAATCCCAACTAACCATCTGAACAGGTGAGAATCCATGGACACCAATGGCGCTGGGAGACCACACCCTTCCAGCAGAGCAACTTACGTCAGTTTTATATACTCTATATCGGGGCAGGCAAAATACGGCCCACGGGCCAGCTCTGACCTGCTAGGCACTTTTATTTGGCTTGCAGGCATGCCAACAAATTGTACCCCGCAGCCCTTCTGCCCACTTGCACCCCCACTCTGCCAATGTACCCTATTGTGCCTCACTCCCACCCTCATGGGCAGAAGGGCCTGGCCCAGCCAGCAGCAGCTTCCAGAGGGGCTGCTGCTGCTGCAGCTGCCTGGAGGGGACCTGCTCGGCTTCCCCGGTGTCCCGCTCACTCTGTGCAGCAGGTAGGGAGGCGGCAGGGGCAGGAGGAGGAGGAGTTGCAACTGGGTGGGGGAAGGGAATATTAGGCTGGGGCTGGTGGCAGCATGGAGCCTGCACCCAGGAAGATGGCAGGAGCATGTAGCTAGGGTGGATAGGGTGTGGGTGTGAGGGAGGGTGGGCGGTTTGAGGCCCCCACACAGTCCCTCACATGGTGCACAGCCCCCACTGCCAGCAACAGCAGCAGGTGGGGGTGTCGTGCCTTGTGCAGGCACTGGCGCTTGGTGGCGTGTGGCTCAAGCCGGCGCTGCACGTGGGGGCAAGGAGCGCAGCCTGCCTGTATCATGGGGGCTCTGTGTAGCGCACGTGCAGCTCCCGCACTCGCGCAGCACCAGGGGAAGCCCTGCGCTGGAGCCGGCTGCTTTCCCCGCCCCCTGCTGCACAGATCCTGGGACTCTGCCTGAAGTGGAGGGGAGCCATGGCCCCTGCTTCCCAGCACAGTCCCAGGACCCGCATGGCAGGGGATGGGGAAGGCAGCCGGCTCCCGTGCAGGGCTTCCCCTGGTGCCACCTGAGTATGGGAGCTGCACTTGTGCCATGCACAGCCCCAAAACAGAGGCAGGTCAGGCAGGCTGTGCTTCTCACCCCCATATGCAGCACTGACCAGAGCCGCAAACCCCTGGGTGCCAGTACCTACACAGGGCACGAGCAACCTAAGCACCCCTGCCTGCTGCTGGTGCCGGCAGCTGGGGCTGCATGCCATGTGTGCGGGGTCTTCACACCCCCACCTCCCTCACACCCCACAAACTTCTTGCACCCACATGCTGCTCCCACAACTCCCCCACAATTACCCATCCTCAACATACCCTATGCCCCCCCACACACCCCACCATACGCACCCCTGTCCCAACCACACCCTCCACACGATATACAAGAGTAAGATTTTATTTTTGAGTTATTATGTAATTCCTCTATATACAGTACGTAAGCACAGATCATGACAAATACTTTTGTAAATGAAATTAAAATATGTTATAGTAGGTATTTGTCTTTTAGCGTACGATTTGTTTTTTTTTCTGGTTCCAAGATGGCAACCCTCCCCTCCCAAAAGGAGTATTTCCGGGAGACATGGGGAGGGACTTCCGGTGGCAAAAGTCAGGGGTTCAAGTGCAGGACTTTCAGTCCCAATATGGCAATCGGGGGGTGGGGCAAATGTCAAGGGGCAGGGCTACCCATGTGGCCCTTGACATTTCACTCAAACTTGTTAAGTGGCCCTCCAACTGAAATAATTGCCTGCCCTTGCTCTATTTCCATCAGGATCCAGGGGATCTGCTATTCACAGCAGACAGCCGCTCCGAGTTGACATTACTACAACGTCTCAAGGTGGCAGGGCAGCAAGTTTTCCTTGTGGCAGTGTCTACCTCAGGATAAGCTAAGGACAGATGACACATCTGTACAGTTTTAGCCTTCATTTTGTCAAGGGTAATGCTACCCTGGATTGAGTGCAGGTGCAGTCCTATGTCCAGTAACACCTTGGGGAAGGGCGAGTGAACCGGCACCAGGCAGGGCTCTGAGGGAGCCCACACCACAGCACTGCTGCTGCTGGAACTGAGGCTGCTACTACAGCAGCAGCAACAGCAGTAGCAGTCTTGTGTGCAGAGTGTGGTGGCCAGAACCAGAGGGGTTACTATCATGAGCAATAAATATATGCTCTTGGAGACATCCAGGCAATTGTCTAGCAGTTAAGATTAGTTAATGCAAAGCTTGCAAGTTTGCAACCCGCAAATGGAATTTGTCTGTCACAATTTAACCAAAGTGTTGAATCTAACTGTTTGCACTGATCATGGGACTGACTGGGCCCCAAAAATGAGCAAACTACAAGATTAGCTGATCTAACAGATTTTTTAAAGGTCAGCTATAAGAAGATCTGACCATCTAATATAATTAGCACATTCCAAGGAATCCAAGGAATAAGAAACCAAGGGGTTGAGCTTGGGCAGGGTAATGCTAATTTCAAACCTCAAAGTAAGGTGGTGTAATTTGCTTATTGGGTGAAACTGAGTTCGGGCGGTAACCTTTTATGATAGTTTCTAACACCTTTTAATCCCATAGGGTAACAGCTATAGGGCAAGATTGTGAGTGGCTCTAAAGCCAACAGATTAGCATAAAATAAGGCATAAAGGAACGCGCATGTCAAGTAACCGGTTTGAAGGACGGGACAGAAGGACCATCGCTGTACCAAGCCTGGACCCCAACTCCCAGTCTGAGTGAGGGCCAGATCCTGACTAAGGGACCTTCCTGGTGACCCCTCAGACAGTGTTGATCAGGGACGCCCGACTTTGCTGGAACAACTTGGTGCGCACCTGGCATAGAGGGACTGCCGATAAGCTGCCAACCCCACGTGGGAACTCTTTGTCATTCTGTCTATCTGTTATCATTCACTATTAGTGCTTTATTACTGTGCTATCTGTTTGTCGCATTAA